TAACAGCACCCAGGTATCGGAACTCACGCACACATTCCAATGTGCCATTCTTCACAGGAAGAGGAAGTCGGTCATCATCCGTGATACCATAGCCAACCGCCATAAATTTGGTCTTGTCCAGATTGACGGTCAGACCAAATGCAGACGAGACATCGATGAACATATCCAGAGCAAGAGCAGCAGCAGTACGGGTAGTGGCAAACAGTGCAGAGTCGTCAGCGAACTGGCAGTCGTTGATGGTAGTCTGATCGTCAGTACGCTTTCTCTTGAAATAAAGCGAGCCCCCAGGATTGAATGCCAACGGGACGCCGATACCAGGCACATGCTCGACCACTCTGGACCATCTCTGGAAAACAGCCCACATGAATATGTTGAATAAGACTGGTGCCATACAACAGCCCTGCCGCAAACCACTCTTCACTGCAATGGGTTGGATGGGTGTTGACCCGATGGAGAGAGTAGCCGACATGGAGGTGTGAAATGACTTGATGATGTTTACGATGTTACTAGGGACCCCTGCCTTCGCGAGAATCAGCCACATGCATTCACGGTTTACTGAGTCGTACGCCTTACGTAAATCAACAAAGACAACGTATCCCGGGCAGCGATGTTCGTACAACTTCTCCAGGACTTGGCGAACTGCAAACACCATGTCTGTGCAAGATCGACCCTTACGAAAGCCGCACTGGGAGTCGGGTAGAATATTCTCCGCAATAATCTGTAATCTGGACTGAAGTACTCGAGCAGCAACTTTCCCAACAACATCCAGGAGTGATATGCCACGCCAATTATCACACAATGAGAGGTTACCTTTCTTTGGGATTGGCACAAGGTTGCAGTCTACCCATTCCTGCGGAACAGCCTCGTCATCCCAGACATGGTGCAACAGATCCAACAGTGCCTCCATGAAACTCTCACCACCCGCTTTGACCAACTCAGGCAGGATAGCTGAGGCGCCAGCGGCCTTGCCGTTGCTGAGTTGTCGAATAGCTCGCGCCACCTCTGCTGCATCCGGCTTGCCAGCGATGTTCTGGTTGATAGGCTGCTGGTCTATTTCGTCAATGGCACATGGATCAAATGTGCTAGGGATGTTGAGTACGCCATCGAAATGTTGGTACCATCGTCCACCTTGTTCCTCCACAGATTTGCAGATGTTGCCATTTGCATCCCTAATAGCGGTAGTAGACACAGGGCGTAATCCCTGCTTGGCAGCCTGCATATCCTTAACACATGCCCACACCCGTGAGGAACTGAACCGTGCACCATCAAGAGATTTGGCTTTGTTGGTGAACCAGGAGTTCTTGGCAGAGCGGACAGCAGCTCTTGCCTTACTCCTGGCAGCCTTGAACCTGTTCCACGTGTCATCAGACCTGCCACTTGAAATCCATTCTTGATATCGCTGATTCCTTTCATTCAACAAGGGTTCGAGGGTATCTTTGCTCTCAGTAAACCAATCTGGTTGACGACGTTTCTGAAAACCGAGGGTCTCCTCTGCAGACTCGGTGACCGCGGTGCGCAACCTCGACCATTTGCATTCAACGGTGGTATGTTCATTCGGCTGTTGCAGACTGTTTGTGAGGCATTCACGATAGACATCAGCAACTCGTGTGATGTTTCCAGATGAGTCAGTGCTGTGGACATCCTTCAAACGTGCAACATCAAACCGCTTACATTTCTTCGTTTGCACACAACGCGAGCGGCGCTGCAGACGGCCTACTACAAAACGCGCAGCCACCAGGTTGTGGTCGCTCCCACATTCCGCACTTCTTATAACTTGAGCATCAATACATTGGTGGTAGTCAGCTTGTGACGTGATGACAAAATCAATACAATGAAATCTCTTTGACCTTGGATGTTGCCAGGTCCACTTCCTATCCTCTGTCTTGCAGAACCATGTGTTACACACCATCGCCTGAATAGTTGCAAGAAAATCCAACAGCTCACGTCCTGCAGAGTTCATCTCACCCACTCCATGTGGGCCCCGTACACGTGACCACTCATCAGCGTCAGCATGCGTACGGGATCCAACTCTGGCGTTGAAGTCACCCAACAGAATAAACTTTTCTGTGCCCATCCGTGGCAAAGTCGCTTGCAAGTCCGCAAAGAACTGTTCCTTGGCAATTCGCTTGCTGGCGAACGTCGGAGCATATGCGGAGATGACAGTATACCATACCGGTGAACACCCATGAATATCAAACTTCAATCGCGCTGACACAATCCGAGAGCTGCGGGCGTCGTATTGACAACCGCCGTCACGCCACGCGCGAGCTGCATTTCCCAGCAACAGAATCGCAACACCTTCACCCCTTCGACACGACTCTCCCTCGCCAGGTGAAGGTCTTCCAGACGAAATTAGCACTGCTCCGTCGATGTTGTAAACGTTCTTATCCAGCCAGTAGGTCTCTTGAAGACAAACTATTTCCAATCCAAGACGTTTGAAAATTTGAATTATCCGATAAATTTTCTTGTCGTCAGCCACTTGATGTCGAGTGGATGCTGTTTGGACGGGTCCTTCACTTTCCAGCAACGAGCGGACATTCCACGTCCCAACGCTCAGGGTAAACTCCTTTCGTCTCCTACTGCGTGCGGTAGATGGCTCCATTCGCGGGCTTGCAAGGCCTCGCGATGGGTCCAACAGCGGAAAACAGAGTCAGAGTGACGACACCCGAAGTTCGTCCTGTAATCTGCTCTGGTGACTTTCCGCTGTGGACTTCTACTGGGAACTGTCCCAGGGACGACCCTGGAAGCCCAGAGTCGTCCCTGAGAACTGAAAACTAACAAAAACTAATCAAACGATGAGAGCTACAAAATTCCTAACTGACTCCTGTAGAGTCACACACACACACACACACACTTGCTTGTACACTCATACCTCGTTTATCCATGCGGTCCGGGACCGGGTACTGCCCGTAACTTTGAAATGTCCCGGACTCCAAATCACATACATGTTGGTTGGTTGGATTTATTTAAAGTCGTACAACAAACAGGCATATCTGCCTCCCTGAAGACGACTTCTGACAGTAACACATTTTTTAAAGGGAAAGGAAAAAAGAAGAAGATAAGATCAAGAATGTATAGACTGAGCATACAGCTAGCCTCGGCATGTATCAGAGCATCAGGATTTTAGTAGTACTCAAGACAGGGGAGGGAGTTGCTGTCACGCTACAGTAAGACAATACGCGTGCAACACACCCTTCAACTGGAGGGGGGACATGATGGTTCTTGCATCAGGTGGAAGACTGTTCCAAACGCGTGCAGCAGAAAGAGACACGGGATGAGTTCTGGATTGAAGCTGCAGCAGATGTTGTTGGGAGCCGCGCGTTTGGCCAGCTCTACAGTCCATTCATCGGAAACTGGCCCGCTGGCTTTGAAAGTCGGATTTGGGCCGAATTGAGGATCAAAAATCCACTTTAAATCTCAAAAATCTGGGTTTTGGATCTGCTTCTCCATACATTTTGCCATGGCATACCTGTCCTAATAAAACCTGGCTGAATTTCTATTTCCCTTTTCTTGGACCTTTCTGGCCTCAAATGTGGCAAGGAGTAATTGCACGGGTCGCACAATGCAAGAGGTACTGTTGTTTTCACGATATCTACAACTATGTGAGAGAGACACCAAAAAGTTAGGGTGCCAGTTTCCAATGAATGGACTGTAGTCGGAGTGACAAAATCTCCAAATAATGCGCTGATCAGCGGCTGCTCCATGGTGGAATGTAGGCACCGGTGGACCAGCCAGCACACTGTCTCACGCAAGAGCTGGTGTACACGAAGCAGGTTGTGCTCCGCATACACGGGTATTGATGGGGAAAGGCCATAGATATGGCATGTGACATCACTATTTCCACAAAAAAAGAGTACATGAGACGAAGCTAGTTGTAAATCTGAAGAGTCCTTTCGTACCATTACTTCTCAAATCAGTACAATGGTAAGAATGTGACAGAGTACAACGATGTCAATTTATCAGCATATTGGCGGAAAAATTGTGATGAAACGTACGCAGGCTGAATGATGGTGCGAGTTGCGCCAAAGAGTACAAGAACTATAACAGGGAGGCGTGAAGTCAAAATATCACTAGCTTACTAGCAAACTCCTTCTGTCTACAAAGCTCAGACTGTAGCCTGGCAATGTATACAACCTGTAGCACATCTAGGTGGCATTTGTTGTGCGCCCGTGCGTGAATCTTGAAGCGTTGTGGAATATTCTTACTTGTACATACTGCACTCAGGCACACAGGGGACATGATAAGATGAGTTGTTATTCGTCTCATTATCACCATGTACTGATTTGAGACGTAATGGTACGAAAGGCCTCATTAGATTTACAACTGGCCTGGGTGCATCATGCAAACAGCGCCAAATAAAACAAATAAGGCCAAAACAAATAATGACCTTGTTTCCGGTCGGCCGGCCGGGCCACTTTTTCCCAAATTCTGAAACTTTTTCATGGTCCCAAATGTATACAAATGGTGGCAATGTGCAAGTGCACTCAACGAGTCATAACTCAGTCAAATCTCAACCGAATTCCACAATAGAAACACCTACAAGGTAGCAGAGATTCTCAGCTGTCGGCTCGAAAACCTCCGGGGTCGATATGAGCTAGACTAACGGAGCTGGAAGGACTCGAACTGTTTGCTTGATTTCTCAGGATGTACAAAAACAGGAATACACCACATGCTGTAGAAGAACATTGAGTCAGTCAACTTTGATATTGATCCTTGCCATTATGTACAATGTACATGTGTAGGTGCTCTTGTCCATCAATACCACAACGATTGAGGAACCAAAAAAAGTATCCAAAAAAAGTTTCATTCCGGCCGACCGAGTCTCCTTTCTGAGGGGTTGCCGACTGGAAACAAGCCTATTTTTTGTTTTGGCCTAATATATGTGACAAGTTTACAGAAACCTTCAGATTACAAACATTCAATTGCAGAGCCATCCAGAGTTTTTGGTGTATGTCCCAGTGTGTGACCTATGCTCAATGTTTTGTTCCTTGTGATGTGTGTGTAAGCATTTCCAGGATGCACACCAATCAAGTTCGAAAGGGGTGCGGGGGCACTACCATTACATGCCATTGCAGTTCAGAGACTGCTTTCATGGAAGTATTTTTTTAATATAAAATTCTAACAGAATCTAGACATTCCATCAAGCACATCCTTCGGCTTTGTTTTTGTACCACCTTTTGTACTCCAAGGTTACTGCTATGGTGATCCACATCTTGCAAGCATTGGTGGAGAGAAGTTTGACTTCCATGTGGTGGGAGAGTTTGTCCTGGGAGACATGCATGGAACTGATCTTTCCATGCAAGTTACAGCAAGAATGGAGATCGTGCCGGTTGACAATGACGCCAACTTTACCTCCATCACACGTGTTGGTGTTGTGCTTAGTAAGTTTGACCATGCTGAATCCCCAACAGTTTGTGTAACGGTGAATTTTTTTGTGTAACCCCACTGCTGAAAGTTGAGTCAGGTTTATTATGCTGCATCTTGTGGAGAAACAAAAGGGCAATATCCATTTGTACTTGTAATTATTATTATTATTCACAAAGAACGAAACAGCATGCTGTCCGCAGATTGAGTATTATTATCATTATTATTATTATTGTAAAAAAGAGGAGAAACACATGAGAACGAGTTATGCAGCAACTATCCACGACTGTAACAAGATGATAAACGGTCAGAAAGTGCGATAATAGGGCACAAAACTGACAGGCTGCTGAGACATTCAGACCGCATTGTCATGTTATTTTAAACTGGTCTCGTCATCGTCCTGTAACAGTCGGTTTTCTTTGTTGCCGCGGGACTTAGCTTGTGCACATTTTCGCTGCGCTCACCTTCCCCTCTTCGGTCCTACGTAACCATGAACCTTCCAAGTTGGAAGGCTGTTGGTTTGCACACTGTTATAGCTAGCTCTTGGGTCGCTGAATGTCTCAGTAGCCTGTCAGTTTTGTTCCCTATTCTCGCACTTTCTGACCGTTTATCATCTTGTTACAGTCGTGGATAGTTGCTGCATAACTCGTTCTCATGTGTTTCTTCTCTTTTTTACATTTATTACTGGCTCAGTATCCGAGTGTAAATTATTATTATTATTTGCATTTTCGCGTCATAGTCAATTAAATGATTGATGATTTTGCTTATGCTGAGTGGTGGTAAACAGAAATCAAAAATGGAAGATGCTGATGTCAAGGCAGAAAACAACATAAAAGATGGGAAAAGAAAATAGGATGAGTATGGATATCGAATGGGATACGTTGTACAGACGGCTCTAGTTTTGGTATCATGTACACGTGTAGTATCGGCTGGTCAGCATCTGTGTCATGCAGTAACTTGTGGCCTGGGTCCATGTTTAGTATTTCTGGCTTCACTGCTTGTACTGTGGATTGCCTCGTCTGGACTCCTTTTGGTTGGACTCAACCTTTTATGTCTCTGTGTTCCGCAGTCGGACTCTCAGTCGTACTCGCGCATCCACATTCACGATCCCGTATTTATCCTCACTGCTGTACATTGCCTGTAGCTTCCTTTTCTGGACTTGTTCTAGTCTGTTTCTTCCTGCCTTTTTTGCCTTTGGGGCTTTTCTGGGTCTCTTCTCGGTTCCAAGAGATACAGCTTCGGATATTTTATAGTTTCTTGTTCTTCTTCGTATTCATTGCTGTATTGTAGTTTATTCCGATAATCTAGTGCTCTTCGAGCCAACACCACAGCAATTCATGAGTGTTGATCCTCGCCGAGATGTATGATCTGTAGCCGTCTAGACATACGTTATGATAGTTATTGCAACAAACGGCGAGGAGACAACAATTTGATAACCGCAATCAATAAAACAAGCTGAATCGACATTTGTATATACCTTATCCATGCAATGTAAAATGGTGGAGACAATGTGCAATAAAACGATGAAAATAGGAAGAAATAGTGTAGAGCAAAATTAGGATTCAAACAAGTTTTCGGACGACACTCATCAGGGATCGTCGTTGTACTAAAGGACACTGCACATTGTCTCCACCGTTTTACATTGCATGAATAAGGCATACACTAATGTCGATTCAGTTTGTCTTATTGAATGCGGTTATCAAATACCTAGTTATGGCATGTTGATATTGTGATAGATGGTGTGATTCTATTACTACTGTCACGTGCCTGGACGTGACGACTGCTGCCTGATAGTCCTGTGACAGCAGGATCTACATAGTGAGCAGCTCTGTGCTGAGCTGTCGCGCCCTTTTTGATAGAACGTGGTTTGGCCAGTGTCTTGTGCCACGTGCTTAGCATGTAGGTTGAGCGACACGCATTTTCCCACGTAGGTGACATGCCTTCTTGCAAGTTCTTGGCATGGCACATCATGTGACCCAATGCCGGAACCTGGTCAGGTAGGTTCTCGCGTTGTACGTTTCCTGGAAGTGCTTCATTTCCTGGAAATGTGACTCCAGGCTTTGTGCGAAACCACGTCACTACGACGTTCTACAGGTTTCCACGATGCCTCGGGGCTTCGTGCAAAGAGCCAAGACTAACATGACATTGTATAACAAGAGCTAAGTGCAAGAGAGGAGACGTGTGCTAGAGCCAAAACCGTCACCGCGCAAGAGGTCAGAGTATCACGCAACCAAGAACAAGAATGCAGCAGAACTTACCATAAGAAGCCGCTGAGCAATGGCACGTTGGGTGAGCGGACTCCCCAACGTGACCCTCATATACGCACATTGTACTCTGACGTGGGTGAGCGGGCTCCCCACGTCCCAATTTGGTCTTTCTTCTCCATGTCTTTCTTTCTCTTTCTTCTCGAATGATTACGTACGTGCATTCTGCTTTTCTGCTGACTGGCTGCTCATATTCCAGTTTTACCTGTTCTAGTAGTTCCTGGAAATACCTCGTACCGTTCTAGGCAATGATCACGCCATATCTCTAAATTGCGCTATAAAAGAAGCTCTCTCTCTCTCTCTCTCTCTCTCTTCTACTGCAGTCAAGACTCGGTCTCAGCTCTCTGTCTTGGTTTACTTTGAGCTCGGATTTGAATACTACTCACAACGTGAAGTTAACAATCCTTGTCTGTTGATCGTGTGGGGTTGACCTTGGCCCAAGCCAGCTATATTGGTTGGCCCCAGGGTTGTGCTGGGCTCGTGGTGAGGCGACACGCCTATTCGGTCGCCGCTTGTAGTGATTTCTGGGTCCGGTCACGCTGAGCCAGGGATGCGACACTACAGTAGTACTGAGGGAGTTGGTAGTCAAAAACTCGGATGTTGAGCCTATAGAAATAATGTAAAGAGAACAGGACCTATAAGTTACTGGTTATGATTAACAGTCCACCCAGATAACGAGAGCGAGAAATAGAAATCCGCCCTCCCCATTTTTTCTGAAGAATAAAGGACGATCACGAAGTATATTTATACAAAAGAGAAAGACCAAGGAACTACAAGTTACGCTATACTGTCCACTAACTCCACCAGTTACTGAAGATGTGCTAGAGCTGATAGCCAGTTAGTTGTAGAACGTCAGTACCGTCGGTCAGTGTAGTGCAATGTTAACCCGACTGCTGCATGGACGATAAGTGCTGCGAATAGTGATCATGCGCCCTGGCCTGAGTAGCTCGCTTGGCTAATTGAAAGTCTGCCGACCTGGGCCACATTATGTTGCTAAGGCATGCACAACCCCAGTCACAGCGCGCAAGTTGGTTGAGTTTGGCCGTCAGGAGGCCAGCGCAAGGTATCCGGGGCGCGGGTCTGATTCCAGCGAGGGGCAATGTGGTACCCCGCAGCGCAAGGGTAGCGTGATACCCTAAGCCAGCGAGCTAGGACAGATCAAGAGGCGTGGGTGGGAGGGAGAAATTGCAAAACAGTTGGAGGCACGCAGCGGCACAGCTAGCAAGAGAAAGAGCCGTGGATGGGTTTGTTCCTGTTTTTGATGGCTGTGGCCATCCGTTGGCCCAGCGGTCTCGTGTGAGTACGGTGTTTGTTCGTGCTGCCAGCTCGCGCCCGGCATTTGTTTGCGCTGGCAGCTCGGGCCCGGTGCGCGAGTGAAACCGAACCGTGACAAAGGCTTTCGCTCTTTAGTGCTATTGACTGGCTTTTCATACGATGCCTATTGATGTCTAGAGACATGCTGTCTAGCCTTCCCCTAGTACGCATTCACGGGGCTTTGTTGAAGTTCGTGCCGTGAACTGCCAAAGGGAACTGTTTGAATGGTGCTGGGGCGAGTGCGACATTACGGCGTCCCTGCAGCCGGCCTAATCGCGTTTGTCGCCACAACCGATTTTAACCCGACTGCTGCATGGACGATAAGTGCTGCGAATAGTGATCATGCGCCCTGGCCTGAGTAGCTCGCTTGGCTAATTGAAAGTCTGCCGACCTGGGCCACATTATGTTGCTAAGGCATGCACAACCCCAGTCACAGCGCGCAAGTTGGTTGAGTTTGGCCGTCAGGAGGCCAGCGCAAGGTATCCGGGGCGCGGGTCTGATTCCAGCGAGGGGCAATGTGGTACCCCGCAGCGCAAGGGTAGCGTGATACCCTAAGCCAGCGTGCGTGCTGCATGAGTAGCGTGATACTCGCTGAGCGCTTTTGCTGTTGCCTAGCAACGCGTTTCTGTCTTTCCTGGGCCCCCAACGCATGTTGGGTGGCCCTGCGCATGACTGCACGTTGTCATAGCAACCTTGGAAACCTCAAGCCGGTTACCAACAAGCTAGGAATCAGACCAAGCCGCCGAATGCCCCCAAATTCCGCGTTGGTCAGCCGAATGACCTTAGTGTGGTATTCAAGCGCTTCAGCTACATGTACGTAGTTCAAATGCGTGCCCTTCGCATGTTTGTTTTCCCTTAGTGACACCGAGAAGGGTTTGAATCGCATGTAGTCGGAGCGTGCGTGCACACATGGGGTGTCCCACACCGCCATGGCATGGGGTGTCCCACACCGCCATGGCATGGGGTGTCCCACACCGCCATGGCATGGGGTGTCCCACACCGCCATGGTCTGGGGTGTCCCACACCGCCATAGCATGGGGTGTCCCACACCGCTAGGTGGGAGCTATAGCACAGCAACAGAGTGGTGCAGATAACTTATCATAAGTATCAGAGGCGTGCGTGCACAGTCAGTGCTAGAACGTGAGTGCATACGTCCGCGAATGGGCGTACCAGCGTGTGCGCAGCGTGTGTACCTGCATGCATGCTTGTGCGGTGTCAGACTGTGGGTGAGTGTACGCGTGCATGCATGTGTGTGTGCATGCGTGGGTGTGTGTGCGTGCGTGTGTATGTGTCTGCGGGTGCGTGTATGTGGGTGTGGCTGTGCGCGCTTGCGCGCCTGCGGACGGCGAACAGTTACTTTCCACAGCGTACATAGTTCTTGTAGCAGGCACTTCGCCATCTGCCGAGTTTCATGATCTCGGATTCGGTGAAGCCGCTCA